AGCGTGGCCGACTGGGCTTGCTCGAAAAGCACAAGGTAAGAAGACGATGCGTAAACGCCCCACGAGACGAACAATTTGCGTTTCTAACTCGAGACAGGACTACTCTCTCCGAGCCAAGGATTTCAACAAGAAAAAGGCCCAGCTGAAATCGCTGCGACAAAAGGCCGCTGATCGAAACGAAGATGAATTCTACTTTGGCATGATGTCCCGCAAGGGCGCCGGATCCAAACTCAAGGACGGCAAGAGCTGGACAGGCAAGCTGGAGGGCGACCGCGGCAACAGGGCAATGGACGTCGATACTGTGCGGCTGCTCAAGACCCAGGACATAGGGTATATCCGGACGATGCGGCAGGTGGTTGTCAAGGAAATTGCAAGGTTGGAACAACAAGTCGTCTTGACAAGAGGACTCGACCGTCTTGACGACGAAGAGGACGAGGAAGACAAAGATGACGATCTGGACTCTGACGACGACGAGACGCCCTTGCCTGCGAAACCCAAGGCACCGAGAAAAATTGTCTTCATGGATGACGAGGAGGAGCGAGAGGCTACTATGCTGGATAAGTTGGAGGCGGAGCAAAATGACGACAGCGACGAGGAAGAAGAAGAAGAAGGTAGAAATGCTGCCGCCGCAGATGGGGAAGGGGACGACGAGGAAGCCGATCCGGCCAAGTCGCTGCGGAGACTGAAGAGACAACTCGAAAATGCTAAGAAGCAGCTCAAGGCCTTCAATGATGCCGAGGCACATCTTGACGTGCAGCGCGCCAAGATGGCCAAGACGGCGACATCCGGAGGGAACACAAGAAGAGGCAGAAAAATCATGGTTCGCGCGAGGAAGCGTTAAAAGAGTTGAAATGTGTCGGCTTGTGGTAATGATGGCATCTACCGGCGTTTGGGGGGGTTCTTTACAATCACGAAATATACTTGGTTCCTTGTTCATCTGCGTAGGTGCGCTCATAAATCAATCGCCGTCCAAGACGTGACAGTCACATCGTCAGAAGAAGCGCACGCTCGCCCTGGTAAATATCCGACATGTCTCATTATTATAATCATCACATGGCCACGTTAATACTTGGACCCCACACACGAATACAAACACTTGAAGACGCCCCCGACGGCCTTGAACAGCGCCGTCAGGACCCATATAGCCAACTTGAACACGCCCTTTGCCAGCTTCACCACGACCCGTATCAGAAACGGCGGCTTGTCCCCCGCGGACCGGCGCCCGTGCGGCCCCTTGCCCAGGCTGTCATTTTGGCTTTCCACATCCATTTCAAACGCCTCCATCTGGCGCTTCTTCTTCCCGCCGTCCCGGCGTATACTCAGCTTGCTCCATCTCGCCGAGCTGCGCCTGGCGCCGAGAGCAGCCGCCGGCGGCGCCCGCGGCGGTGGCTCAAAGGTCTCCATCGGCGTCGGCGAGCTCCTGTCCTCGCCGGCCGCGACCAGCAGCAGCGCCGTGACGACAACGTCCAGGATGTAAAAGGAGCCGATCTGGGCGGCGACGCCCGTGTCCAGCTCGATCCAGCCGCCGCCCGTGCCGTCCCTCGTCAGCTTGGCGAGGTGCCGGGGCGACTCGTCGTGCTCGAGGGTGTACTCGACGCGCGAGTAGGCCGGGCTCCGGTCGACGGCGACGCGGAACGGCCTGGCCAGCGCGTTGTGCACGAGGAAGTGCGTCGCCGTGTCCTCGTCCCAGACCAGCCGGGCGCACTCGTTTTCTGCGGCGGCAACGGACGCGGCGTCGTCGGCCTTGTCGACGGCCATGCGCGCGGCCGCCGCCGGCATGAGGAGCGCCACGAGCCCGTCGTTGGGCGGGTGTTTGCGGGACTCTTCTTCCAGCGTCGAGCTGAGTGCTTCGTGGCGGTGCTTTGCGTCGGACGGGCTGCCGCTGCTGCTCGCCGGGGCGCCGGGGGACGTGCCGGCCTCTGGGTTCGGCGCCTTGCACGGCTTTGCCGGGTCGTGCCGCGTGAGGCTGATGTAGGCTGCGGCGGAGGTGGGATCTAGCCGGAGGCTCCAGAACGGCTGGGAGGACCGGGATGACAGCGTGTACACGGGCGCGTCTTTTTGCCGCGACAGCTTCAGGCAGAAGACGCTCGATTCGGACACGGACGCCTTCCACCCGTTGGCTACCTTCCACAGGCTCTTGAGGTCCTCGGTCGTGCAGGGCGTGGGGGTCTCCGGCGGCGGCTGCGTCTGTATCCTCAGTGGCCATCGGCCCCTTGCCGCAGGTCGTCGGGGGCTCGACGGCGGGCTGCGGCCCGGAGCGCTCTGTGTCCCCGGGGATTCCGGCTCCTCGTAGACGGATTGCCTGCTGATGATGGCGCGGGGGATGTGAGCGGGACCCATTTGCGTCGGCGCGTACTCCTGCTCGTTGAGCGACACATCCGGGTTGTAGGTCGGGAAGATGGACCTCAGCGGCTGCGAGGCAGACGCCGGCGAAGGGTGGTCACGGAGAGGGTTTTTAGCAATCGAGTTCCTGGACCGTCCGCTGTTGCTGCGAACGAGCGTGTTGGCTTCCGAGAAGGCGGTTTCCGCCCGGCCGGGCACGTCGTGTATATTCCGGGGCTGTTGGACGGCAGCGGTGCCGGCGGTCGTCTCGAGGCCGTGGTGCCGCGCAGGGGCTTCAGAGTTCTGCGGTGTCTCGCTACTTAACGGCCAGTTGGAGGGCGTTTCTGCCCGCGCAGGCTCGAACTGCACAGGTGGTGTATATGATGGCTGCCCACGCGCCTGGGTGTGATCTGGTGTAGCCACCGTCTGGAGCTGGGGTGTTTGCGGCCTCCTCTCCTGGGATTCGGACCGCCGCCCACGGTAAGACTGGAGACTTCGAGATGCCGGCTGTGGTTTGGAGGCGTTGGGGCTGGGAAACAGGGAGAAGCTGCCTGGCTGGGATTGCTGCGGCGAAGGCATGACTGCTATATATATCGCTGGTATCTCGCCCCCAGTGCGGAATTCCTGGATAGCAAGAAACCGGCAGGGACCCGGGGTATCAGAAGTATAACAAATAGAGAAAGGAAAAACTATAAGCCAGCTTCGGCTTACTGCATCGTGTCCCGCCTGATATTATTGCCAATACCAGCTCGAACCAAGACGGGCCAATCGTCAGGCCTCTGATGAATGAAGACGAGGCAGCACAGGAAATGGCAAAACAAAAGAACAGAGAAGCAGAAAAAATGGAGGCAGTGATAAACATATAATGTCGCACGGCATGCCATCTCTATTCCCTATCCCTGTCCAGGGCCCCATGGCTATTTGCGGCAATGGCACCTTGGAAAGGGCTGCAGTATCTGCATTCTGCTAGTCTGGCGCCATATTTGCTCTTTGGCGCCCCGTTGGAGTGGTATCTCCTGCAGGATGCTGGGCGGACGCCAGGAACGCGGAGGGGGTCTACGCGCTTCGTGGAAGAATCGTCGTGTCACTGGTTGGGAGGAGTTGGTGGTAAAGATGCCGTGCCATGCGGGAGACTATATTTGGCCATGCAGCCAACGGTGTGGGATATCACACTGCATCAAAGCGGGGCCAAGAGGTGCGTCTAAGCGCCGAGCTGCGCGGGCGGCCAACCTGGGTGCGCCATGGACTGTGATTGGCCGGGTGGCATCTCATCTTGAGTCTGGTGGCACTTGTGGGAGGATGGAACGTGGGAAGATGAGATGGAGGAGATGGAGGACCTGTGGTGCGGTGATTGGGAGTCGGTACCGTCAACTGGTGTGAGAAATACCAGGTGACACTACCCGAGATAATCTGGTAGCTGAATGGGTCGTGCATGCCAACATTGAACATGGAGCCACTCAAGACTCAAGAGTGGCCGAGGGGTCGAATTAAATATTGACCCTAGCCGGTAGTTGCCAACGGGTCGACGGCCATGTACCTATGTACTTAAGCATATAACGTCTCGTACTTACATTATTACATAAGTTCGGTATGACCAGTGGCCATTGCCACGCCCCATGTTTTTGGTGTCAATGTTAAGACCCTCTACTTACTGCGACACAGACCGCATACCGCAGCCGCCGCACCGCTAGTATCAACCGCCCTCTAGCTACGTAAGTGTGGAAAAGACAAAAAACGTATGGTACCTATGTACGTGTATGTACGGACACTTGACTACCAAGGTGCCTACCAGTTGGCATATGTGTAAGTGGCAGCGGAGTGTTCAGGGCCAGCTGCCCAGCCTACCTATACGTATAAGACGAAACATTGAACTCTTTGATTTGGCTCAACTGGTGCGATGTTGATTGAATCAAACGTTATTGACTGCCAGAAAGCTTGGGATTGAGGGGAGTATCGAAACTTCCCCTTCATATAGCACGACCCAAGGTTGACGCAAAGGCTAAAGCCAACCGTACGGGAAGTACGGCGCGAGTCCTATCCTAACCGGACATTCAAACACTGTGTGGCTCAATGGGAGAAGGCTGCCTTAGATGCTGGTGTAACGTAATGTATTGTTATGTTTTGAACTCAAGCTACCATGGTTACTCGGTAAAGGCCTCTGTAATTGCCTTCCAGAGGCCGAAAGAGCCAGACAGACAACAAGGTAAGGCATTCTTTAGTCGGATCACTCGTCCAGCTTGGATATGGATCGTTTAAAAGGGAAGTTTCCGAGCACCGACACTTCGTAGTACACTAACTGGCGCAAGTGGGTGAAGTCTGGTTTGTCTTCCATTTGCAGTCTGCCATCTCCGAGTACGTGTGATTGGACAGATGCCCTTGACAGTACGAGGGTAGATGTAGCATCCGGTACAAATTGCTTCATCCCAAGTGCATACCTACATGTGGGCACATGTACCACTCCCTCGTTTATTCCCGCAGCTACAACGTGTCAGCTCATTTTAAGGTCAACTCGAACAAACTGCAGCACTCGCGGTGCCCCGCTGACAGAATCAGCCAAACCTACCGTCGACCTTTTGGTCCATTATTTGCATCCGCAGTGCACTGGAACATCCTCCACGCTTTCTCGCTTCTCACGGTACTTCTCCTATCGACGGCTCTACGTGGTGTGTGTGCTCTAGATGTCTGGACAGTTCCCGACCTATCACCTCGCCCCCAATTTCTCCATTGGGCCGCCTCCGAGGGGGTTGTTGGATCTCGGCTCCATCATCGACGACCTCAAGAACCCAGACGTCATCAACAGAACTTGCCAAGTCAACGTTGATGAGAATGACAAGTATCGGGACGAGAAAAGGGGCTTCGTCTCCAGCCGTTCGAGAATGAGGCAGGGCGATTACGGCGTCTGGGCCAAGGCTGTCGGGATTCAAGGGCTAGGCGGCGAAGTGTCCAGAACCACTGGGGACTCGCGCGAGGAAACCTACCGATTTAAGAGTATCGAAACCATTTATTTTGTCGCGGACAGAGCGTACATTACAAAAGCAATGAACATGGAAGAAGTCGAGGAATTTGTCAAGGGAAGCGGCTACAGTCCCGTCTACATCGTCACCGGACTCAAGATTGCTCGCGGCCCGGCCGTCAGTGTGTCCAAGAATAGAAAGCGAGGATTCAAAGCCGAGGCTGTGGTCAATCAGCCAGCCGGCGTGCCAGGTGATATCGGCGCCAAGAGCAACTCTCTCGCGGAAGATGTCGCGGTGATGGAGTTTGAGGAATCTGATGACTTTGTTATTGGTATCCGCGTGAAGAAGGTTAGATATAGGATGAAGGGCACGGTTCACAAACAGCCTGGCGACATTGTGATCGAGAAGTATGATAAAGGAGCCCAACTTTTGGGAGCAGGCGACAAGGACGAAGAAGTCCCTGTCGAAGAGGTGCCTCTCGACAGCGAGATGGTGGGTATGATTGAGCTGCTGGATGGAGTTCTGACGGAGACGGATGTCGACGGCAGAGAGATGGCCACTGGCTGGATCGTGCCAGCCGCCGGCCCTTGGTGAGACTATGAGATGAAAAGTGAAGTTTTCAAGGCACAGCTATTTGGACAGACCAGTCATCCTCGGCATTGCGCACTTGTATTCCCACTGTTTGCTATGTCTTTTCCAGATAGCTCTACAATGCCTCAGCCTTTCGTGCCTCCTCGCGAGCGACTCCTATAGATGACCATAACAACTCGGATAATGACATGTCGGTAGCTTCGTCTGGCTGGTTCGCCATCCTATCTTTGCGCCTCCACGGACAAATATAGTCGTAGTTCCCGCGAGGAAAGGATATGCGTTTAAAGATCTGGCGCATGCCAAAGTAAGAATGCAGCAAGTTCTTGTCCTCCTCCCGCATGCCCGGTTGATTCCGGGCAAAGTGCAGCATGTTGGCGGCGATTCCAGCCGCGATTGGCGTCGCGTAAGAGGTGCCAGATATGTAAACCGACTCGCCCTGGCGCAAAGAGACAATGTCGACGCCAAGAGTCGAGAAATTATCCTCCCACTCGTGGTCAGGATCGGGATTAAAGGATTTTGTGTCGCCTTCACCATCCGCGGCGTGGACACATATAACGCCTCGTCTGCGAGCCGGGGACGCTCGCATGCGGTTTCCTCCATGGTTTCCTGCCGCAGCAAAGACGATTCGCCGCCGATGGCCCTTTACGCCGTTCGAAACCTGGCCCGTCTGCTTTCCATCAAGATTTAGGATCCTGTCAAGAACAGTGTTGATGTGTTTGTCATCTTGGGAAACGCCCAAAGACAGCGCGACGATGTCAACGTCGTTGTCGTCCACTGCCCATTCAATAGCCTATCACCGCAACATCAACACTGTTTGATCATTGCACGCTGGTTGTCAGAGCGTTGGAGGGACTTACCTTTGCAACATAGGATAGGGGAATATTCTCCGTGTTGCTTGCAACCTTGGCAATTACAAGCTCAGCTCGCGGAGCAACCTCCAAGAGTTGCCGCACGACATGAGTCCCGTGGCCGCACTCGTCGTTGCAGTCGCTTTCCACGCCAACCCAACTTCTGCGATTGATAATTCGCTCACCAGCGGCGCATATCATAGGATCTAACTTTCTCAGATGTTGTTTGTTCTCGCAGCTAATAATCCCGGAGTCGATGATGGCGACCCTCGTCCTGCGCCTTGCCCAGGGCTCAAGCCTTGGCGATGCATCCTCTAAAATGAAGTCCCTGTTGAAGCTGCTGATGGATCTGAAGAATGATTTGGCCGTGACGGCCGTCCTAGGACCCGGGTCAATGGCGGAGGATGTAAAACCAGGGCCGGGTTTGTGCCCTGGCGGAATGGAATACACACCAATTGCTATTAGGTTCCCGCGTCTGCACATGGGTGGCTAAGAATGCCGTGTACTCGTTCTCCTTCACAGGCTGTATAACACGGTGTTGGACAGATTCGCGGATCCCTTCATCAGAAGAAGCACCGGGTCTGGCTCCAGTGAGATGCCCTTCTTCAGCCTGTTCCAGCGTCGTCGAAAGCTGCTCTAGTCTTTGCTCCAACCTCGCCTCTAACATGTCGGTTCTCGGCTGGGTCTGCTGCAGGTAGCCCCGCGCAATTTTCTGATCGATTAGTTGATCAACTCTCTGCTCAATTCCTTGTAAGATCCTGGAGAAGAGGCTCTGCTCTAGTATCCTTATACTCCGTTCTCTTCTCTCTTCATCTCCGTCTCCTATTGAGACTCGTCGTCGCTTTCGTTCTAGCGACTCGCTGTGCCCTTGTGGTCCGCTGCGCACCTGTAGCTGATCTCGTGTGCCATCTGAGGCAGAGATGTCCGGTTTCTCTTCATGTTGCAATCCCGAGACAGGTTCTTCGTGGGGTTCTTTCGAGGCTGGTCTTTCCATTTAACGGAACAATATCTGTTCCGATGGGTTGGACCAGGATTTGTTCCGATCGGCCTGACCGGAATCAAGGGTATACAAGTATATCTCGTGGAGCTTTTTACGATATTCCAAAAAAGAATGCGAAATGGCTGATTAGATTGTCAGGGGCACAGGGTCTGGTGTCAAAGCTCCACGGGTACCCGGCGAGGGTAGCTTATCCGTGGGTTCTGGATAGCTTTGGGTAGTGAATTTCAACCCAAATGGATCCGTGGGGGAAAGCCGCCCACGTGGATTACCTACTACGAAGTACTTGGGTACTTAGGTCAATACTCCATACCTAGCCTCGGGCACCTTGTGGGGCCCCCTCTGTCCCACACGTCGTGGAGAATAAGGCCGGTACAAGTTTTCAGACTAAAAATGTGTCACTACTAATAAATAGTATAAAAACGTTTTTTTAAAGCAATGTGAAGTTGTATAAGAAAATAGATCGCCCACGAATAACCCAAGAAAAGCTTAAATACCCACGGGTGCCCAGGGGTACCTGTTTTTACACCAGACCCTAGTCACAGGTCTGGCTTATGCGGACTTGTATGCACCAGACGTTCACGTGCCGTGGCCTGTAAGGAGTCGGGCTCGGATACATCTCCACAACGGCCCGTCACTTAGCATAGACAACTTCAGATGTTCTTACTCTGAGTGTTGCCCTCCCAAAATGGCTGCATCATTCCCACAGCATCCAAAACGTGTGGAGACACCCGAACCATCGCTAGAGCTATCAGCGTTACTAACAAGATGGCGAACGAGCGGAATCAAAGTTCTTCACGTCCCCAAAGATGCCGTCGTTGAGTAGGCACCACTCCCATTTCGGATTGAGACATAGCCCACTAACGAGCTCCCGATCTAGCATTGTTTTCGTCCATGGCCTAGAAGGGGATCGTGAAACAACCTGGACTGCCGAGAACGCTCCGGGACCATGGCCTCAGGTTCTTCTGCCTGCCAAAATTCCGGGCGCGCGCATCCTCACGTTCGGCTATGATCCACGCGTCGCCAACTGGCCATACGTGGCATCGCTGGTCCAGGTTGCGAAGAACTCAGGGAATCTTGTCAGCAAGCTTGCAGAATTTCGCCGGAAAGACAATACAGTAGGCACCCCGGTCTTGCAGAGGCTCGTCCGCTGATTTTCGTAGCATCAACGACCCATCATCTTTGTCTGCCACGACTTCGGGGGCCTGATCCTTGAGGATGTAGGTCATCAATTCGCACTCTTGAAACTTCACGCTGAATGATTGTAGGGCTTGTTCACATCGAGTTGCAGCTCAGAAGAGAGTGGACGCAATATCGTTTATTCAACTCGTGGTATCATATTCCTTGGAACACCACACCGGGGGGCTGGCTGGACCAAGCTATTATTGGCCGAGCACACGAGGAAGTGTCCGAATGACAGAGATTTGAATATGCTCAGACAGGGCCCGAAAATACTCGCACGGATACAAGACAGATTTTTTTCACTCCGTTCGCGCCTGCTCGTGAAGGCATTAACACCAATCCAGATCAGCTGCTTCTTCGAGACACTGTCCTTGCCGCAGGTTGGCTTGGTATGTCTGACAACATCGATGAGTTGAACTTGGAATAATAACAGTAAGCGTAGGTTGTGCCGCAAGAGTCAGCGACTGTTCCTCGGTGCAATTCGATTGCAATGCGCAAAAACCACATGAATATGACGAAATTCGCGGCACCGGATGATCCGGATTTCGAGTTTCTCTGTACGGAACTCGGTTTGTTGGTTGCGGAGATTCACGCCGAGAATTTTCGGCGGGCGAGGGATCACGAAAACCTCGGCCCGTACCGTAAGTAGGAGGAGAATCCGGGGCAATACGTCGTACGCTAATGCGAATAGTGCTTGTACCATTCCTAAGAATCTCAGACTTTGTCGGGCGTTCCACTATTCTACGTCAACTAAAGTATCGGCTCAGGCACGGCCAGCCTCTGACGAGCAGTAGCTCGCAACCACGTGTCTCACTCTTAGGCCCGGCTGGCATTGGGTAGTTGAACCCCGAGTCCCCGGACACAGGATGCATATTAACTTGTAACAGTAAGACCCAGATCGCACTTGCATATTCGTATTGGCTTTACAAGACCTACCCGGGGATGTCAGTCTTCTGGGTTCATGCAAGAAATGCAACACAATTCCTGCAGTCCTTTACTTCCATCGCACAAAGATGCCACATCCTCACCCGCAATGCCTATGCGATGGATGCTGGATGGCTAGTGAAGGATTGGCTAGAGAGAGAGAGCGCCGGTCGGTGGCTTATGGTCATTGATGGCGCCGACGAGGCTCGGCTATTCTCTCCCTCGGCCGCAGGGTCTTTCAGCTTCGACCCCTCGGATCAGAATTTACACCCCTATATCCCCGTATGTGCCCATGGATCCGTTCTCATCACAACCAGGGACAGGAAACTTGGGAGCAGGCTTGCGGAGGATGTAATCGTAGTTCCTAGACTGAGCCTAGCTGAGTCCAACGAACTACTTCGCACCAAACTTGGCGGCCTCGAACTTGCGTCTAAAAATTTGTCGCGCTTGTCGAATCGGTTGGAATGCCTCCCCCTCCCGCTTGCCCAGGCAGCCGCATACATGCGGGAAAATCATGTGGGGGTCAGCAAATATCTTGACCTCCTCGAAGAGGATGAGACTGAATCCGTGGGTAGGGCAGCGCTTGGAGAAGATCCGTTGACTTCAAGTCCGGCCTTAGCCAGATTGGTGGCTTCGTTCGAGAGGTTGAGACTGAACGATTTCGAAGATAATCTCCTTTCAATCATGAGCTGTTTCAATCCGCAGGCGATTCCAATGCAGTTCTTACTTCACTATAGTCAGCTATATGGTCTTCCCTATAGTCAGCTATATGGTCAACAGGATGAGCTCGAACTCATCAGTGAGCTGCCACTCAAAAAAGCCTTGGAAACCCTCAGAGATTTCTGTCTCATCTCTCTCAAAGAGGATAAAGATGTATCCCTACTCCCCTTCGTGCTGAGGGCAAGGCAGAAGTGGTTATCCTGTCAGGATATGACACGGCACTATGCGGAGCAGGCGCTCCTAATTCTGTCTGACTTATTTCCTTATGGGAACTTCGAAAACCGAGCAACTTGCAGTGAATACCTCCCCCATGTGTATTCCGTATTGCACCTCGAGGGTACCGGCTCGGAGGAAGAAAGCATCGCAAAAGCAACTCTCCTTCACCGCGTTGCCGGGTTTCTTTGCGACGAGGGCCGATGGAGGGAGGCTGAACCCCACCAGCAAGATGCTGTCAACTTAAGAACATCATTACTAGGGGAACAACATCCTTTAACGCTTGCAAGCATGACCAATCTGGCATCAATATTCGGGAATCAAGGCCAATGGAACAAAGCTGAATCAATAGAGGTGCATCTAACACAGACGAGGAGGAGATTACTGGGAGAAGACCATCCCGATACACTGGCCAGTATAGCCAACTTGGCGTTGACATATAAGAGTCACGGTAGATGGCATGAAGCGGAGGAGCTAGAGCGACAGGTGATGAAATCAAGGACAAGGGTGTTAGGAGAGGAGCATCCAGATACGCTCGCCAGTATGCGTAACCTAGCATCCACATTATCTAATCAAGGGAAATGGAAGGAAGCAGAGGAGTTTCAAGTGGCAGAGATTGCGATAATAAGGCGGGTTCTTGGAGCCGAACATCCTCGGAACTATCCCAGCATGGCCAACCTGGCGTCGATATATTTGCACCAAGGCCGGTTACAAATGGCTGAAGATTTATCAGAACAAGTCACGAATGCTCTTGCAGGGTCCCTTGGAGAAGATCACCCGTCAACGTTAACTAATACTGCAAACTTGGCGTCAATATACAGGAACCAAGGCCGATTGCGGGAAGCTGAGTCACTTTTAAAGAAAGTGGCAAAGACTTCTCATAGGGTCCTCGGAGAAGGAAGCCCTGAGACGTTAACTATAATGTCCAACTTATCATCGACGTATATAGATCAAGGGCGATGGAAAGAGGCAGAAGAACTAGCGCTGCAGGTATTAGATCATAGAAAGCGTGCGCTTGGCCCGAAACATCCCTTAACTCTAACCAGCATGGCCAACCTGGCGTTGATATTCAAGGGCCAAGGCCGATTACAGGAGGCAGAAGACCTGGAGATGCAGGTGGCAGAAATATCTAGGACGGTTTTAGGCAAGGACCATCCGGACACATTAATCAGCATGGCTAATCTAGTATCAATATATCTAGACCGGGGCCGAGTAAACGAAGCTGAAAAATTGCAAACAGAGGTAATGGAGACGAGAAAGAAAGTACTCGGACCTGCCCATGCCTCAACGTTAACCAGTATAGCCAATTTAGCTTCTATATACAGCAAGCAGGGCCGGTTTTCTGAGGCTGAAGCTCTCGAGGTAGAGGCAATGGAGACGAGGAAGCAGCAACTTGGTCCTGAACATCCCCTCATGCTAAGCAGTATGGCCAACCTGTCGCTGACATACTACTACCAAGGACGGTGGAAGGAAGCAGAAGCGCTAGGCAAAGAGGTTTTAGAGAAAAAACAGATGGTGCTTGGTCCTGAACATCCCTCAACTCTAACTACTATGAACAACCTAGCATCGATATTCAGCATTCAAGGCCAGCTAGGGAAGGCGGAAAAACTAGAGGCTGAGGTCTTGGAGATGAGAAAGAGGGTGTTGGGAGAGGAGCACCCCGATACGATGGCCAGTATGAACCAGCTCGCAATAACCCTCAATGACCAAGGCCGATATGAAGAGGCGAAAGCATTGATGATGACGGTGATTCAGCTTCTAAAGCGGCTGCATGGCCCCAGCCATCCTTATACGACTGCTTCCCAATCCACCTTGGACGAGTGGGAAGCGAACCATCAGCAGGAGCCAGTATCATCGTCATCGGTGAGTTAAAGTGACGAAGGCCACTCTCAGCCTGCATTCCACGATTCAGCACGATTGGCGACAGGAGTAAAGAATATTGGCTTGGGAATTCCTTCACTTCAATCAATCAGGCCCGGGATTCAGAGAGGGATCTGATCTTCGTCACAGTGTCAAGAGGACGGACCTCAGCGCGACTGGCCCCAAACTAAACGTGTACACAATCGCCAGCCTCAATGAGCTGTGCGTCCACTCTCACAACTCTACCACGGACCCCGTGCTGGCCGAGCGTTGGAGCGATTCTACCAGCCCGCCCTCGCCTTCCAAAAGAACTCACCCTCCCCAGCGAGGTACCGACTCGGTACAGCGTGGTGGACTACAGGGTCCTCTGGCCAGGCTGTGGTATCAACACCTTCAGGTCCACTCACTTCTCATCGGGTAGAGACTAGGATGCGTGGAGGAAAGTCTGCTTCGGGGATTTGAACGGGGAGGAAATTCAGACTAGCTTGGCGGAATGGGCAGAACAGATGGAGGACGAAACACAAATGCTGTTATTGGCTAGGAAAGCCTATCGACACCGATCGTGAATAAATTGTTGTCCCGATGGAGATGGAGATGATGTCTGTTGCGTTGGTTGGAACGGGTAAAGTTGTATTTTCCTTAATAACATGATCAATATCAGACGACTTAATTCCAAATGTGAGAGGATATTGTGTTGTCGACACATCTCTGCGATTGACCATGGAGAACTGCTGGACGGAACTGCCCAAAGACCCAACCCAACAATACATGCTAAACAAGCTACCTAGTACTAATTGTGGCGAGACCGAACAATTCTAAGAGCACACTTCAGCTAGGCAGATAAAAGGTAGAGCGTTATTAGTGAATCTACATCCCTTAATTCACAGCTGGCTACATCAATACTCCAAAGCGTATCGCATGCGACGTACGTTAGCCAGAGTACACCAGCTGCCGCTGTAGATAAATGACGATGTGACCGAGGGCAGGATACGTACGCCGGTTGTTGAAGGTCTCCGGAGCCGTCAATTCGGAGATGAGGACATGTGCATGTCGGCATAGTGTGAGAACCAAGGAAGCGAATAGCGAAAACCTGCCGTTGTCCTGTCGTGCACGCTCCAAAGACGTTGGTCGGCTGCCGTGCCTGACCGCCTTGGTCATATAGGATCATCGAAGGCGTGTACGGCTCCCAGCCAATCTCTTAACCCTTCATCTCTTCCCCTCGCCACATCTTACTTCCGACTACCGAGCAATGACTTCCAGCATAACCCTCAAAGGCATTTATGTAGGCAACAAGCCTGTCATTGTGAAGAGGTATCTATATCGCCAATACAAGCAGCTAACTGATGGTACCCCATGCTGGAGAGACAACTACATTCTTGAGCGGTGGGCGGATTCTGAAAAACCCGTGGTGTACTACGGACAGGATGTGAACGGATACAGGCTGTTAAAGAGGTTGGGCGATTGGTGCTGGCTGGCCAGAAATACCAACAATAAGTGAGTGTTTCTGTCCCCTTGGGCCGCAGAGAAGACTAACCACTGGCGCCAGCGAGTTGTTGACCGTCAAGTTCATGGGGCGGAGCGAATCTCAGCAAGTCAAACGCGAATTAGCCATCAACCGATTTCTACGTTCGCGATGCCCCCAAAGTCCCCACCTATGCACCATCAAAGACAGCTTTGTCATAAAGCACCACCTGGCAAAACTGCACCCCTCATACAGGAAGGTCAGCTTTGACGCCATCGCCTACCCGCCGACGGGGACAGATCTTCAAGTGATACATACTTCATCGGCCCGCAGCACCTCGCCACTCCCTTTAAGCATTGAAAGGCGGGTGCAATGCATCAAGGACATTGTGCGAGGAGTGGCCGAACTACACAGCCTGGGTATCGTGCATGGAGGTAATTCTACACAGAGGAGTTGTTGAAGAAAGATTCTAACAAGACACAGATATCCATCCAGGGAATGTTGCACTACCACCGCCTCCAGTTGCAGACATCGAGGCCCTCCTTGAAGAGCCACATATAGAACACTGGTTGGAACGTGAGGATGGAGCTCCAACACCAGACTGCCTCCCCAAATCCGTCATTAAGCCAGTGGACTTGGGCTTCGGCGACGGGACATGCAGAGTCTTGGATTTTGGATACTCTTTCCGTCACAGAAAAGGTGCCGTGTACAAGGCGGACAGCTTCTCATATGGCGCGGTAAAGGCCATTGAGTTTGAGACGAGCGAAACGACAGCCCAGCCCTTCAAGGTGGACAGTTGGTACATGGGGCAATTAGTATGTACACTCGACATACAACGCCGTCGCACATTGCCTGACATTCACTAGATTTATTACATCTTGACAAATGGATGCGACTTTCTGGGCAGGCGCCCCTCAAACCTCAAGTCATATTGGGTAGACCGTATGGCTGTACTAGAGAATGGAGTGGACGAAATTTTTAATGAGGAGTTGCCATCACGCAGACATCAGCGCCATTTCCAGCCCATAATTCAAGAGCTTATGCACGGCGACCCTGACCGCCGTCTTTCTGTTCAAGATGCCGTGGCTAGAATCGAGTCGTTTTGACTCGCTGAGCCTTCCGATGCGGAATTTAGATCATCTCTTTCTTGACCTTATTTACACATTGTAATGCACTTGTCAACTATTATAACTAGGGGAACATGGTTCTGAACAATCTCAATCTAATCACAGACACAAGAAAATATTAATATGCTGTACGCATGGCATCTTACGCACCAGTATAAAGTGTGCAGACGCGCTCAACTCCCGTGAGCCATACCGCACAAAGCAGCAAACCATGGCAATATATAACACACATTGACTTCTCAGAACTGCGGCTAAACGTACAGCGAAGCACAACCTGACAAGGAAGAGAAACAATATATGAATGCAGCGATGTACTGTGCTGCCAAGAAACTAAAACGTCATTCCAGCGCAATCTACAAGGACATCCAAGTAATATTTCAAAACAGCAATATCAAGCTGACACTGGAATATATAGCGTCATTTAACTCCTGAATAATTCTTTTCTAGGCATCGCCATTGATCCCTCCATGATTGCCCGCCCGAATACGGTCGGTCTCGTGGCCCTTTCGGTACTATACGAATGACAAGTCAAATCAATAATGAAATACCGGCCAAGCTGACAAAACGAGTCGAGAACCTACCTCAACAATACCCCCGCCAAGCCGTCTCGGGGCCTCGTTTGCTCGGCGCACATCGTCGGACCGTACTAGACGCGTAGCAGCAACACCACAATATCCTTGGGCGCAACGATCCTGCGTTAGGAGATGCTCCGTTTCAGTTTAAATTTCCGCCTACATATCTGGCTTTTTCTTCGTCTTTCTATCGGAGGGGCGTACCTTTTCCCAAATGCTATTCACGCCGTCTAATCCATCGTGTCGTGTGAGTTGATGCCTTGGTACACGACCCCTCAAACGGCTTACATATGTGATCGTACGGTGTGGCCCTTGCCGTCGAGGCAAAGAAGATGGAGAGCATGACTGCGCCTTGTTGGTCTTTTTTATCCGCGCTGGTGAAGCTAGTTGGGCATTCATCTTATGCTCGTGCTATGACAGACCAGGCGAATAGGGGTAGAAAATAAAACCCCACCAAGTGCGTCTGGTTTACGTAGTACAGATGGCCTTATATTTCGAGCTGCCCTTGCTTACCTGCCTCTAGCTCGTCTTTCTTTCTTTTTCTTCTTACTCTCTAATCTAACAAAAATCTGCAACTTAATTTCATTCATGGCCAGTTATTTTTAGGATTTTTTTAGTGCGCATGTTCATCCCGTGCGACCTAATGGGCCGAAGCACGCCCTTCACAGGCCGATCAGGGCACAAACAGAGTTTATCGCGTTTCAAGGACTGGATCGGATTTTAAATGTCTCGGGCAGAGGCGGCCGGAATTTCTTCTGTCTACACCGAATGTGGAGCCGCCGTTTTGAAACCGGGTGATGGCTCAAATTGCAGCAATCTGATGACACCGTAATGCGGCTGCCGGGCCGTGCCGACCGGCACTTTTGTGGCACGACGCCAGCGATGCTGGGCCACTTGCCCTATTTGGAGTCGATGGTCCCTTCGCCCTGCCTTTATCTCCGCTCCGCTTTGCTTTGCGATCGCCATCCCCTTAAGTGCGCTAAGGTGCTGTTTTTATAGAGAGTAAGGATATATATAAACCAATTCAAAATCTTAAATCAAATGGCATAAATTTTCACTGTGTATTAGAATAATAATATAAATACAAGTTTTTAAGTTTATATAAAGCTATATCACACTTATTATAGTCGTTGGTGAACTAAAAAGTGCCTGTTGGGTATTGCATAAAAGGTGGGACAGTTACAAGAACGGCACCTTCGCACTCAACGGGATGAGATCTGTCGAGTACTACCGAGCAACGTGAACCGCATCCTCGACCAAGCGTAATGGAAGGACTTTATTACAACGAGAGGAACGTGACGATGCGATACCGTCCGCACCTCATGCATACAGCTTCGGCGAAAAGAGGCCCTCAACTATCATGTCGGAGAACAGCCTATCCCCAAGTTTGCTCAAGTAGTGATTTCTATTTTGACACGCGACAGCTTCTGCAGCCCAGTCCTGCCGCCAGACTGTCGTGACCCCGCCTCGTCCATCTTATCGTACAAATTTTTGACCTGTCTTTGTCTAGTATACATTGCCCAACCCCGGCATCAAAAGAGTCGGCCGAAAACGCGGTCCAGCGACCCCACATCCAAAGCTCAAAACTAGAAAGAAACAACAACGCCAGAAACCATGCAAGTGTGCCCCGAATGTTGCAACCACCCCGCTCTACTCCTCGCGTCTTTCATCCGCAGGCTGCCGTTGCCTTCGTTCGGACTGGACCAAAAGGAAAATCGTCATCTGCCGCCATCAGGGCCATGCGGCCTGTCCTTGGCCGTCATCCCACCCACCCTCTCCGCCTGTCCCAGCTTCTCCAGCTCGCGCTGCCTCGACGCCCTCACCTCCTCCGGGAGCCCCCACCACTCGCGGAGGAACTCCTCCTGGGCCACGGCCATCTTGGCCTTGCGCTCGCGCTGCCGGTGCCGCTCCATCCGCATGGCGAACCACTCCTCGCGCGCGGCGTCGTGCTCCTCGGGCGTCGCGTGCAGCTTCATGCAGTTGTTCATGACGCGGTGTTCGGCCCGGCAGGCAAAGGACACGGTGAGGGTGCGGCCGAGGGCGCACGCGGCAAAGGCTAAAAAATGTCAACGTTTAGTTGTTGTCTTTCAGCGAGGCCCCTCCATCGGTGAGGAAGACTACATGCACGCACCTTTGATCTCTTCGGCACACTGGCTGCGAACCCGGGCGTAGTAAATGTCTCGTACTTGCGACTCCTGCGAGGCCGATAGCGGCAGGGGATTTCTCGAGGGCACGCCGGCGCGTTGGTCCGGGACGTCGGGCTTGTCGGTGGCCATGGTCGTCATTTCGCTGCAAAGTCTAGAGGAAGCCAGGGCGAGTTTTCGATGGTGGCTCTCTGACGCAGGGCGCAACCCTCGTCCCCGCAGTGAGGAAAGTCGGACGAGCCCAGGTCCTGGGTGAGAATGGAGCTCCGGTGATTGGCAATGGGAGCCTGCCAGAGCGCAGACAGTCGACGGTCGGGCGATGGTCTGCTGGGTGGTGCAATCGCGCAGTGTTGGCCGAGAAGCTTGAGGCATCAGGCAATACTTTAACGAGGCGGCTCCACTAGAGGCTGGCAGAATCTAAGCCACCGCCTTCCTGTTATGATTGCCGACTTACACCAGTTCGAGGCTGCCTGTCGACAAAGGACGTATTTTAACTCGCGGACAAAAGACGTGGCGGGATTTTTTGGAAAGATTTAATAATAGATATGGAAAAGTTATTTCCACGGCAGTTAAGTGCGGTGCCGTTATGAGATGCTACGTATCGTGATTCGTTACATACTACAATGTGAAATATTGCGGGGGATAACTATGATCATTCATTATAGAAACATGGTATATAAAGCAAGACGCGAAGAATCCAATCCAACAGATGGCTCCAAAGCCCCCCGCCGCTGCCACTTACACCAGCTAACCAGGCCTCTTGGTCAGAAACGGCGCTACTAGACTGCTGCCGCAACTCGTCCAAATCACGCCCCCGGAACATGAACCACATTAAGTAAAAAGACAAAAATGCCATGGTAACCTCTATAAACCTAAATTATCTAACCGACTACTTCGGATGCTGTTGCGGCTGGTGGTAATACTGCTGCTCCTGCTGAGGAGGCGGCGAGCTCGTCACCGGAGACGGAGAGTACGGCTGCTGCGGCAGCGGCGTGGCCGACAGCTCGCTCCCCTGCTGGACATGCTGCTGGTACGACGGATACTGCTGGCCGTACTGAGCATACTGCTGCGCGTCCTGGGGAGGCTGGTACGGCGGCTGCTGCTGGTACGGGCTCTGGGCAGGCTGGTACGGCGCCGGCGTCGGGTTCTGGCTCAGAGACTGCTCGTGTTGGCCCGTCTGCTGCGGCTGGACGGGCTGCTGGTACGGTTGGTATTGCTGCTGCTGCGGCTGCGGCTGCGGCTGCATCACGGAAGCTCCCTGCTCAGCCTTGGGTTCCATCTGGTAGTTGTTGGAGCCGCTGGCGCCGCCGACAATGGGGAAGCGGCCTTCCTTGCGCCCGCGGAGGAACATGACAATGGTCCACACAAACGTGGCGATAGACATGAGCCTTGAAAGTCAGTATCCCGTGACGTCCGGGGGGGAAACAGGCGACACAACTCACCACAGGAGGGCGCCCAGCCCGGCAATGGAGCTCATCATCTCCCCGCCGCTCTTGAACAGAATGTCCCTCCGCTCCAGCTGGCGCCTCGTGAAGCAGGTCTTGCTGCCGATGATGCTGCCGTCGTCGACGCACCCGCCGACCTGCACGTTGAATTTGAAGGTGGCGCGGCGGGCGGCCACGGCGGCAAACGTAGCCAGCCACATGACGACGAGGAAGCCGTCGAGCACCGTCACGGCCAGGACGTGGTACGCCGTCCGCCACGGGGGGATCTTTTCCGTAAACACGGCGTAGAAGAGAATACACCAGGTGAGGATGGCCTGCAAGGGACGGCGGTCAGATTGCGCTTCGCTTTTCCCGGCTGCGTGAGGACTCAGGGGGGAACGACGACTTACAGTAGCGACAGACAGCCCAAACTCGTCCAGGTACAGGTCGTGCATCAAGGCGCCCGCCAGGCCGAGGATGATGAGCGAAACGAGGAACTGGAGGCCCCGGACAATCATCATCCATAGCGGCGTCTCGAGCACGTGGCTCGCCGGCTGTTGGTGGACTTGCTCCATGGCGAGCGAGACCGTGAGCAGTGCGACAAGAGTCAAGTACTATTCGGCAAGACGGTGCCTCCCAGACTTTGAATCCCAGAATCGGGAGGAGAAAAAAATATCCAGCATACGCAGACTCTCGTCAGCCCGAGTGGCGTCCCCGTCCGCGACTTATATGACCTCGTTGCTGCGTGCCCCAATCTCCCATTGTCAAGATTGATCCCGGAATCCGCCCCCTGTTCTGTTTTTTGAGCCTCACCAGCATACCGCTTGTTGCTGGCGCCTGAGAGGATCTGCCCCCTCGGGCAGGACGCCCAATGTCGGGAGAAATTTCAATATTGGTCAGCCCCGACATGGCTGCATGACTGCAAAGAGGATGCCAGGAAGCAAGCCCCTATCACTAGTTTGCCTCAGCCGCACCGCGCGCAAAGGGATGTGAGTGGACGCCGTGCGCCAGGCTGGCTCGTGCCGAAGCAGGCGTTATTCGGCTATTTATGTGCTCAATGTCAATTTTTTACGAGGCGCCGTTCTCTGCTTGGGCAGGGGGGGGGCTTTTTCCGCACAAGTCGAGGCGAGGCGCGTTTTGGCTCAACACGCCATCGACACACGGGATGCAGCCAACGGGGCGAGTTTATCGCGCCACGCGGAGGCGGACCACGGAATGGCGTCGGGTGTTTTTGTCTGACGGGTACATATATACAACATGGCGCTAGGTGATGTTTTTTTTTTTTGACCTTGCTGGAATCTCGGCGCGAAATGGGCTGGGAGGCCGAGGTCCTTACGGGATCCTGTCACTTCAGTTTCGGCCAGCACTTGGAGTAGTAAACAACAATGATTGCAAAGAAATGAACGCTGATAATGGCGGATCTCTTTCCGCAGTGCTTGACTCTAGTGCTGACGGGGACCCTGTTTCCAGCTCGGCTGCCGAAACGGAGCAGAGTGCACACGTGCATGTGCTGGCAGATGAGTCTCGCGACCCTGGTCCTGACTCCTGACTGACTCCTCACGAAGCTGAGCTCAATGCTGGGTCCGCGATCAGGGTGTGTGCGAGCTGCCGCTTGCTTTCTCGCCGTCACCGCTTACTCCGTACGCCGCATCTGTCTCCGGTAGTACTCTGTACAGAGTGTGCCAAAACATTCTAGACCCCGTCCCCTTCCCCCTATTCTGTCCAGCATCCCGAGCCGGTAAGGCGAACCGCGGGTGATGGGCTGACTCGGCAATGGGCTGAGATGCAGGGCGCCATCAGCCCCAAGCTACCCCTGCTCTGCTCACGTCTCGTCCGCTTCTAAACCTCGTCCATCTTCTCATTGGGGCCGGCAATCAGGATCTTGATGACCTCGCCCTCCTTGACCTTCTTAAACGCCTCTTCCGCCCGATCAAACGGCACCACCTCGCTGACGAGCTTCTTGACGTCGACCTTGCCGCTGGCAACAAGCTCAACGGCCAGCTCGTAGTCGCCAGGGCCGTAGCGGAAGGACCCCCGCGCCGTAACCTCCTTCAGACACATAGCCATAATAGGGAAGTTGACGTCGGGCTTGCCCATGCCGCCCTGGACATAGGTGCCGCCGACGCGGACGGCATGCAGGCCCGTCTGGATAGAAGGCTCAGCACCGCTAGCATCGATTACGGCGTCAGCGCCCCGCGGGATGCCCGCCAACTCCCGGATAGCACGGGCGTTGTCCTCGGGCGCGCCCCCCCGCGAGAGGAAGGTGTGCGTCGAGGCGAAGCGGCGCGCAAAGTCGAGCTTGGACGGTACGATGTCGACGCTGACGACCTTGGAGGCGCCGTAGGCCCGGGTCACAGCGGCGCACAGCAGGCCGACGGGCCCGGCGCCCATGACGACGACGGCCTGGCCCGGCTGGACGGCGGCCTGCCTGACCATGTGGACGGCGACGGCGAGCGGCTCGACGAGGGCGCCCTCCCGCAGGGACACCGACGCCGGCAGCTTGTAGCAGAAGTC